GCTGAAATCACCAATGCCCTGGGAAGCTGGATTTTGGGGCATTTTTCAGGAAGATTTCCACATTCTCCTTGATGTGGCAGTAAAGCCCTCGTGAGAAATTCAGCTGCCTTGGGAGGGAAATAATTGTGAAGAGCAACATTTTCAGGGTCATCTCCTCACCTTGATCTCACAGTCCCCTTGAAATGAGCTTTAGGGTGTCTGGGGTTGTCTGATCAACACAAGTGACAATGTTTTTGTGAGCTCCAGGTCCTACAAGCAGCTGCACAACCAGAGTTTGGAGACTTATTCCCTGATCCAGTGAAAAACCTGGTCAGGGGAAAAAAAAAGCTGGATGGGTTTAATATAAAATCAGATCAAACTATTCAAACCAGCCCTAATTGATGATGTTCCAAGTTTTCACATCAAGGGATCAGGGTTGGAAGGGACCTTTGGAGATCATCTAGTCCTGCTAGAGCAGGTTCACCATATCCTAAGGTGAAAGTGTTTGGGAAACAATCTGAAATCTTTATAAACATTTCAAAATCACGTTCAAAATTCCCATCTCATTTTAGTTGGTAATGGGGGTGACTCAAATGATCAAGGAAAGAGAATTCCAAGCTTTCCTTGAGGCTGAGGGAATGGAAACAGGAGGAAAAGGACAATTCATGGAGAACCTGGTGCAAGGTCTGAGGAACCAGGTCACTGTGTTTAATAACTGCTTGTCCTGTGAGAGTAGGAATCCACTCTGGATTCCTGGAGCTGGAGATTCAGCTGGAGAATGAAAATCTTATTTTAGCCAGGTGGTTTTTTTTTCTGGCAGCAGCTTTTGCTGGGCCCAAAGAGACATTTGTTTCTGTCCCAGGACCAGGAACGTGCAGACAAACTGCAGAAGCTGCAGGCGGAGCGAGAGGAAAAGGGGAGGCTGAAGGAAGAGGCAAAAGCTGCAAAAGAAAGAGCCAAGGAGGAGGCCAAGAAGAAGAAAGAGGAAGAGAAAGAGTTGAAAGAGAAAGAAAGGAGAGAAAAGAGAGAGAAGGAAGAGAAGGAGAAAGCTGAGAAGCTGAGAGTCAAGGAGGAGAAACGCAAGGAGAGGCAGGAAGCTCTGGAGTAAGTGGCTTCATTTCCACAGGTCCTGGGTGATAACATGGAAGGATGTGAACACCTTCCCATACCCCCTGGACTTTCAGAGGCCACACTGGTCAAACAGCACATGTCACTTTGTCACAGGGTCTCTTTTAAATGTATTTTAATGCCAGCCCCTCATCCCAGCAGGACGTTCTGTTTCCAGGTGACCTGGGCTTCTCATTTGAGGTGGCTGATGGGAGCTGTTCTGCTCCACTGGGTTTTCATGGCCAGTCTTGTTGGACTTTTGCAATTCCTTGGCACTGGTGCCTTGTCTGGTGAGGAAGTTCCCTAATGTTGAGGGAAATTGGAAGCAACCTGGCTAATTGGTGGCTAAAACAGGTCAATATTTGCTCTAGAAGGAATGCAGAGAGTTCTCAGTGGGTTTAACCCTTGGCTGAGTTAATAGATGATCTGCTTTCCTAGCATGATGGGTTCTTAGGGTTTGGGGCTTCTCACCTCTTCCTCAATGCAAATAATCACTTGATGGGCTTGTGACAATTAACATCAATTTTGTATTAAAGGGCAAAACTCGAGGAGAAGAGGAAGAAAGAAGAGGAGAAACGGTTAAGGGAGGAGGAAAAGGTAAATGTCTTCTCTGGCTTGTCTCTGAATTCTTCTGCTATGGTGAAAGGGTGTTCATGGGCCCCTGGAGCCCTGCTGAGGGCTCCTGAAGCTCCTGTGGTTCTCCAGGCAGTGTCTCCTGCCTCAGGAGCTCCTGTAGCTCCTGTGGTTGTCCAGGTAGTGTCCCCTGCCTCAGGAGCTCCTGAAGCTCCTGTGGTTCTCCAGGCAGTGTTTCCTGCCTCAGGAGCTCCTGTAGCTCCTGTGGTTGTCCAGGTAGTGTCCCCTGCCTCAGGAGCTCCTGAAGCTCCTGTGGTTCTCCAGGCAGTGTTTCCTGCCTCAGGAGCTCCTGTAGCTCCTGTGGTTGTCCAGGTAGTGTCCCCTGCCTCAGGAGCTCCTGAAGCTCCTGTGGTTCTCCAGGCAGTGTTTCCTGCCTCAGGAGCTCCTGTAGCTCCTGTGGTTGTCCAGGTAGTGTCCCCTGCCTCAGGAGCTCCTGAAGCTCCTGTGGTTCTCCAGGCAGTGTTTCCTGCCTCAGGAGCTCCTGTAGCTCCTGTGGTTGTCCAGGTAGTGTCCCCTGCCTCAGGAGCTCCTGAAGCTCCTGTGGTTCTCCAGGCAGTGTTTCCTGCCTCAGGAGCTCCTGTAGCTCCTGTGGTTGTCCAGGTAGTGTCCCCTGCCTCAGGAGCTCCTGAAGCTCCTGTGGTTCTCCAGGCAGTGTTTCCTGCCTCAGGAGCTCCTGTAGCTCCTGTGGTTGTCCAGGTAGTGTCCCCTGCCTCAGGAGCTCCTGAAGCTCCTGTGGTTCTCCAGGCAGTGTTTCCTGCCTCAGGAGCTCCTGTAGCTCCTGTGGTTGTCCAGGTAGTGTCCCCTGCCTCAGGAGCTCCTGAAGCTCCTGTGGTTCTCCAGGCAGTGTTTCCTGCCTCAGGAGCTCCTGTAGCTCCTGTGGTTGTCCAGGTAGTGTCCCCTGCCTCAGGAGCTCCTGAAGCTCCTGTGGTTCTCCAGGCAGTGTCTCCTGCCTCAGGAGCTCCTGAAGCTCCTGTGGTTCTCCAGGCAGTGTCCCCTGCCTTGGTGACACTTGGGGAGTGAGCTCATCCATTTGGGATGCAGCCTGTCCACCCTGACCTGGTGGTGCTGCTCCACCAATCCTGTCATGCAGGTTTCTTGTCTTTCATGCAAGTTGGTGCTTTGTTTTCACCTGTTCAACTCATTTCTGTGTTTGTGTTTCAATGCCCACGAGTGAACCTTCTGCTTTGTCTTAGAGACATTGGAATCCATGGAGCTGTGGGAGGGGAGACAATCATTGTTGAGCTGGGAAGTGACTCAGCTTGGCTTTCTACCTCACTAGGTTTGAACCTGGGTCATGCATGAAGGAATGATGAGGTTTGGTCCCTAATCTTGGTGTTTATAATTTGCCTTTTCCTTCTGATTTCAGCGAATTAATGCCCAGAAAGCAGAAATCACCAGGTTCTTCCAGAAACCAAAGACTCCACAAGCCCCAAAGGTGAGGTGTTGCTGTTCCTGTGCTTTCTTGGTCTTCCATTAATCATCTTTTGACAAAGACACTTGATTTCCTTCTGCTCCATCCCATAGAGCTGAGGTGGGCAGAGCATTAATATCCCTTCCTAATTTAAAAGTAGTTGCTTCAGTAAAAAAATCTCACCTGTGTTTTCTGCTGCCCTTGGCTGTAAAGACCCAGATTCCCTTGAGGAAGATCTCTTGGGAATCTCAGACAGGAAGGGCTTCACCTCAATCTTCACTCAAAGCTTTGGTGTTGAGGTTTGGGTGGCTGGAATGTCCTGGTGCTGCACGTTCTGTGGTGCTTCAACCCCTGATGATCCTCACTTGGCATTTCAGATTCTTGCTGGTTCTTGTGGAAAGTTTCCTCCTTTTGAAATTAAGGAGAACATGGTTTTAGCTCCTCTCTCCCGTGTTGCCCTGGATCCTGACTTGTTGGAGCAGCTGGATAAGCTCCTGTGTGCCCAGAATAGTGAAGGTTCCTTCTTGAGGGATCTAAAGTGTCGGAAACCACGGAAAACTGGACCCACTTTGGTCAGTAGCAGCACTGACACAGTGAACAGGTTAGTCTGTGGTTTTGGGGGGGGGTTCTTCACCTTTTTTTTATATAGAATCAACTGCAGAATGGTTTTGAGATCCTCTTGTTCTGATGTTAGAGGTGGTGGAAAGATGAAGCTTTTCATGGAATGCTCCTTTTGGAGGAGAATTCTTTCCACAGGGAGCAGGAGTTTATGATGTAGAATTAGAGAATCCCAGACTGGTTTGGGTGGGAAGGGGCCTTCAAGATCATCCAGTCCCAACCCCCCTGCATGGTCAGGGACACCTCCCACCAGCCCAGGCTGCTCCAAGCCCCATCCAACCTGCCCTTCAACACTGCCAGGGATGGGGCAGCCACAGCTTCCCTGGGCAACCTGGGCCAGGCTCTCACCACCCTCAGAGCAAAGAATTTCTTCTTCATGTCTAAATCTAGATTTCCTTCATAGAATCATGGAATTATTTGGGTTGGAAGGGACCTTATAGATCATCTAGTTCCAACCCCCCTGCATAGGCAGGGACACCTCCCACCAGCCCAGGTATTAGCAGCAGGAAAAGAGATTCTCTCTATGTTATCTATTGAAGAGAGCATCAAGTTGGGTTAACCATTCCATATGGTGCTTCTCAAGTCCTCCAGAGGAAACACAGGCTTCAGGCAGCTGCCACTGGACACTACTGGTCCTAAAGGGTGTTTGTCTTTGATAATTTAAAAAAGTTAACACATGGATGGCTAAAGGAGAGGTGAGCTGAGGAGGGAGGTGGCTTGTCTGGAGCTTCATGGTCTTGCAGGAGAATTGGGAGAGTCTGTTCCAATGAACTCAGGCCCTGGGTTGGTTTGTGGCTTTCCCTGAGATGCCTTCCCAAGCAGCAGGGGAGTGTTCTAGGTGGACTGAAGATGATCTCCTTTCCACAGTGACGTGGTGGTTGTGGATAACTGCAAACCAGATGCTGTTCCAGAAAGAGGGAAGTTTGGTCGGATGAAACTCCTGCAGTTCTGTGAGAATCACCGTCCTGCCTATTGGGGCACGTGGAACAAGAAAACCTCTGTGATCCATCCCAGGAACCCATGGTCAAAGGACAGTGTAAGGACCTCCCTGGCAGTGCAGTTGGGTTGTGTGCTTTCTGTATGCTCCTGAATTCATGGACTCATGGAGTGGTTCGGGTTGTGAAGGGAACTTAAAGATCATCCAGTCCCACCCCCTGCATGGGCAGGGACACCTCCCACCAGCCCAGGTTGCTCCAAGCCCCATCCAACCTGCCCTTCAACACTGCCAGGGATGGGGCAGCCACAGCTTCCCTGGGCAACCTGGGCCAGGCTCTCACCACCCTCACACTCCACAATTCCCTCCTCATGTCTCACCTCAATCTCCCTCTGCCAGTTTTCATCCATCACCCCTCATCCCATCCTTCCCTGCCCTTGTCCCAAGTCCCTCCCCAGCTTTCCTGGAGCCCCTTCAGGCACTGGAAGGTGTTCTCAGGTCTTCCTGGAGCCTTCTCCAGGCTGGACACCCCAGCTCTTCCAGCCTGTCTCTGTAGGAGAGAACTGAACACACAGTTGGCCACATTCACTTGTTTTCTGGGATTTCTTATCCCCTTTTGCGTGTCCCCTCTTGCTCCTGAGATATGAAACCCTTCCCAGGGTCTGGCATCCTGCTCTCACATCATTTCCAGAGGTAACATCTTGGCATTTCTTCTAGAAACTCCTGGACTATGAAGTAGATAGTGATGAGGAATGGGAAGAGGAGGAACCTGGAGAAAGTCTCTCCCATAGTGAAGGGGTAAGGACTCCACGTGCTGACCAGCAGCTTTCTGAACCCAACCCCACTTGGCAGCCTGATTTCTAACAGGGAGGGTTGATTTTTAGGATGATGAAGAGGAGGGAGAGGATGAAGATGATGACGATGGGTTTTTTGTACCCCATGGGTACCTATCTGAAGATGAAGGAGTGACAGAAGTAAGTGAACTGGCTGTGACTGGATTTCCATCTCTCTGTCCAGTGACTTGGGTAGAACTGGCTGTGGTGAAAGTCACTTCAGATCTGCAGTGTTGAGGAGCAGACTGCTCCTGAGTCATGGAATGGTTTGAGTGTGGAGGGACCTTCAAGATCATCCAGTCCCAACCCCTGCATGGGCAGGGACACCTCCCACCAGCCCAGGCTGCTCCAAGCCCCATCCAACCTGCCCTTCAACACTGCCAGGGATGGGGCAGCCACAGCTTCCCTGGGCAACCTGGGCCAGGCTCTCACCACCCTCACACTCCACAATTCCCTCCTCATGTCTCACCTCAATCTCCCTCTGCCAGTTTAAAACCCTTCCCTGTTGTCTTCTCCCTACAAACCCTTGTCAAAAGTCCCACCAGCAGTGGTGCCACTGTTGAATCCCAAAGGAAAGGATGGATTCTGATCCTGTTTAATGTTAGATCCCCATCCAACCTGCCCTTGAACTCTTCCAGGACTGGAGCAGCCACAGCTTCCCTGAGCAGCCTGTCCCAGTGTCTCACCACCCTCACAGGGAAGAATTTCTTCCTGCAGCTCAGGGGATGTGATGAGAAGTTGGGTTAAAACACCTTTTCTTTTCCCTGCAATGAATGTTACAGAAACTCTCTCACCTGTGGCTTTAGGAGTGTGACCCAGAGAACCAGAAGGTCCGTCAGAAGCTGAAAGCCAAGGAATGGGATGAGCTGATGGCCAAGGGGAAGAGGCTCCATGTCCTGCAGCCTGTGAAGATTGGCTGTGTCTGGGAAGGCCCAGGGAAGGACAGCAGCTCCAGTGCAGACCTGAAGGTTCTCCAGCAGTTCACAGCCTGTGTCCTGGATTCACTCGGCCCAGAGGAGGAGCAGCAGATACAGAAAGGCAGTAAAAGAAGAGCAAAAGATCAGCAAAGTAAGACCTGGAGGGCTCAGTATTTGTTTTCTGCCTGCTGTTGTGTTTCAGTCTGAGAGAGCAGATGTGGTGGGTGTCAAATTCAGAATGAGAAGGCTGAAATCCAAGGAATCTCTGAGAGATCTTGGAAAGGAGCTTCCTGGCATTGAATCTAGTGTGGCCTTAGTTACACCCTCTAGAAACTCTTGCTCTAGATAATCTAGGAAGTGAAGCCAACAAGAGCAGAAGGCTCAGATTGAGGATGGTTCACTGGAAGTGCTGGAGCCCACAAGCCCATTTACAGTTCAGGGGGGGAGGGTTTGTTTTGTGTGACAGGTCCTGGTACTGAGGATCTGCTGTGTGTGACTGATACAGGGTTGTGGGAACTTTCACTTCAGGGGGTTGTTTATTACTGGGGGTGAATTCCTACAGCAAATCTACCTCCTGGTGCAATCCCACATCTAAAATTAATCTTTTTTGGGTTGGAAGGGACCTTCAAGATCATCCAGTCCCAACCCCCCTGCATGGGCAGGGACACCTCCCACCAGCCCAGGCTGCTCCAAGCCCCATCCAACCTGCCCTTCAACACTGCCAGGGATGGGGCAGCCACAGCTTCCCTGGGCAACCTGGGCCAGGCTCTCACCACCCTCACACTCCACAATTCCCTCCTCATGTCTCACCTCAATCTCCCTCTCCCAGCCCCCCTTGCCCCATCACTGCCCTCCCCAGTGAGAAGTTTCTCCCCATCTTTCCTGTAGGCTCCGTTTTATCTTCTTCCTTTCTGGAACCATCTGTGCTGGCAGGTCATGTCAGCCTGGCTTTTCTCAACCTTACAAGTTCTTCCCCACCACCTCTGTCCCTCCTGTCTCCACTGCAGTTCTTGCCCAGCTTCTCCCTCTGCTTCATGGCAACGTCAACGGGAGCAAAGCCATCATCCAGGAATTCCAGGAATGCTGCCGGCAGGGACTGTTCAGCGAGGTGGTGGCAGCTGCTGATGGCAGTGACAACAGCCCCACGAGTCCCCACCCCTCCAGACCACAGACCCCAGTGGGTGAGGACAGTGGTGTCCCTTCCAAAGCCAGGCTAAAGAGAATCATTTCAGAGAACTCTGTGTATGAGAAGAGACCCGAGTACCGGATGTGCTGGTACGTCCACTCCGAGGTGCTGAAGAGTTTGGACCAAGAGCACCTCCCTGTCCCCTGCCAATGGAACTACGTCACCCAGGTCCCTTCTGCAGGGAAGGAGGAAGGTGGCAACGTGCCAGCCCTGGCTGTCCCACCAGCCACCCCTGTGGCAGTGAAGAGGAAGGCCACGGGGAGCATGTCCATCACCAGGTTCATGAAGAGACCTCGGAACGCTGAGCAGGTGAGTCCTGTCCAGGTGCTCTTCCCTGGTAAGAGTCATAGAAGGTGTGGGGTTGGAAGGGACCTTTAAAGGTCATCTAGTCTAGCCCTCCTGCAGTGCACAGGAACCTTTTTAACCAGCCCAGGTTGCTCCAAGCCCCATCCAACCTGCCCTTCAACACTGCCAGGGATGGGGCAGCCACAGCGTCCCTGGGCAACCTGGGCCAGGCTCTCACCACCCTCACACTCCACAATTCCCTCCTCATGTCTCCCCTCAATCTCCCTCTGCCACTTTTCATCCATCCCCCCTTGTCCTCTCCCTCCCTGCCCTTGTCCCAAGTCCCTCCCCAGCTTTCCTGGAGCCCCTTCAGGCACTGGAAGCTGCTCTAAGGTCTCCCTGGAGCCTTCTCTTCTCCAGGCTGAACCCCCCAACTCTCCCAGCCTGTCTCCAGAGCAGAGCTGCTCCAGCCCAAGGATCATCTCTGTGGCCTCCTCTGGACTCTCTCCAAGAGCTCCATATCCCTCTTATCTTGGGGGCTCCAGAACTGGACCCAGTGCTCTAAGGAGGGTCTCAGCAGAGCAGAATAAAGGGGGACAATCCCCTCCCTTGCCCTGCTGGCCACACTTCTGGTGATGCAGCCCAAGACAAGGTTGAGTGCTACAACTCAACCCATAATAGTCTCCAAAGCCTCCAGCTTCTCATGCCACAAAACTGAATTTCAAGAGCTGGTTGAAAAATGTAATAACCCACAGGAGCAAAATGAGCTGGATTTGGGAGCAGTTGCTACCCCAGCTCTGGGCTTTGATGTGGTCTTCCTGTTGTTTGCTTTTCAGGGTGACCACAAATAGCATGAAGAGCTTAATCACCCCCCCAAAAAATGACTGAAAGTGCAGTGGGTGCTTTCTGGGTGTTGCTCTGTAGATTTAAGGCTTGAGGTCATAGAATCATAGAATGATTTGGGTTGGAAGGGACCTTAAAGATCATCTGGGTCCTGAAGTTTGGTGTTACCAACCCTTTGCTTCCAAGCCTGCAGGCAGGACAGGGTTTGCACTGGATTTATTCCTCATCCCCTGTGGACAAGGAGGTGAGGAAAGAAGCCACAGAAAAGGCTTTTTCTGCTTTTCCCTCCCACTTTATTCTTGGCTTCTTTGGCTCATCGACTGCAAATGCTCTGCATTCAAGTGTTGATGGGGATCAGAGACTTGGGAGAAGCTGTTCAGCCCCCAAACTCCATCTGCTTGGTTTGTTTCTTCTAAATAAAGGCAGAGATTAAAAAAAAACCCCAACAATCTCTGCTTGGCACCCACTGGAAATTCTGCTGATAACAAATGACTGGGGCAGAAATAGCAAAACAGAAGGGGTTTAGTAGAATTCCATCCATTTTTCAAAGCATTTTTGAAGCTGCCCCTGTGAAGTTGGGGAGCAAAGGTGTCCTGAAAGCCTGATGTCTTAAATCAGCCACCACTCAGGTGTTGGATCCCATCCTTCCTCTCTTGGAGATTGGGGACAGCCTGGGAATGACTTGGGGGGGAATCAGGACCTCCAGGGTCTCCACCCCTGCCACATGTTGCTCTGCTGTGAAGCTCAAACCAAGCCCCATGGAGATAAATGTGCTCTGAAACAAACTGTGGGGAGAAAAGAACTTGGTCCCTGGGTGGGCAGCACCTGCCTGTGTGTGGGAGGGAAGAACTTCAATCTGAGAAACTGTGGCTTTAATGAAAGATACCAATTAAAAATGTCACTTGCAGGGGGTGGGGGTTGGGCTCTGGGGCTGAGGTTTTTCATTCCACACTTCCAAGTTGAGGGGTTGGTGGGGAAACCACCACAAAAAAAATCACTTGCAGCTGTTCAGTGCTGGGCAGTTTGTGTCATTCCTTCTATTATCCCTTTTCCTGACTCATAGTTTGTGCTGAAAATGGGGTCACCAAGGGGAGCAACTGTCCCCCCCCTCCCTGAACCAAAGCCAAAGATGAGGAGGAGTCAAGGAGGGAAGAAAAAGCTTCAAACTTGACCAACAAAAGTCACTCCAACTCTAGAAGGAGGAAAAGCCTCTCAAATAACTGGGAAAGGGGAGGAGAAGATTTTTCCTTCCCAACCATCCAAACTGGGTCAGATTTCAAGGAAGGTTTAAAGTGACTTGGGGATGTGTGGGCAGTTGTGGAAGAGTGAAAACCATCTTGGAGCAGGAGCTTGGCATGTTTCCTGCACCCTGTGATGAGGCCTTTTATCAGCCACCCCTGTCTGGTGGAGCCAGGGCTTCTTTTTTTTGTCATTCCCTACCAATATTCCCAAGGGATCAGGTTGGCCTGGCTGGGCAGGAGTTTTTCTGCCTGCTGTGCTGGTCCCCAGCACCACCAGTGCCCTCTCCCTGCCATTACCAGTGCCACTGTGCTCAAAGCTCCTGCCTTTGTTTTTCCTTTCAGGCTGAAGCTGTGGAGATGGATGGATTCCAGGCAGACACTGAGGAAGATGAGGAAGATGATGACTGCATGATTGTGGATATACAGCCAGGAAAAGGTGGGAAGATCAGTGGGTAGCAGGTCCTTGCTCCCATGAGGACAGTGTGTGGTTCAACCTGCTGCAGCTTTTCTGCCACTGTGTCACAAAGCCTCATCTTCTCTCTAGATGTTGGGTTTTTAGGTGCTTCCCTCTTTTTATGCTTCATTCTAGATGTTTCTTTGCTATTTATGGTCCTCCCCAACCTGCTTTTGCTCTTTTTTCCCCTCCTCCCTCCAAGTCAGTGGCACGAGGTGCCTGTGGGTGACATTGCCTGCCAGTGCTGCCTGGTGCTGGTGAGAGAACATTGGGGTCAACATCAGCAGATCCACCAACTATTGGTAGATAGTGCTGAGCAGGGCTGGTCTCTGGGTCTTCTGCAACTTTCTGTCCAGAGTCTTTCCAGGACTGGCAAGGTCTGGATCATAACTCCCTTCTGCTGCCTCTTGAAGTCAGAGAATCTTGGAATCCCATGTTGGTTTGGGGGTGGAGGGACCTTCAAGATCATCCAGTCCCACCCCCTGCATGGGCAGGGACACCTCCCACCAGCCCAGGTTGCTCCAAGCCCCATCCAACCTGCCCTTCAACATCCCCAGGGATGGGGCAGCCACAGCTTCCCTGGGCAACCTGGGCCAGGCTCTCACCACCCTCACACTCCACAATTCCCTCCTCATGTCTCACCTCAATCTCCCTCTGCCAGTTTTCATCCATCCCCCCTTGTCCTCTATAAATTCAGGATTCCTTGACTCACAGAATAAGGAAAAGTGGGGTTTTTTATTGAGCAGTTCCTGCCTTCCCTAGAGAAGGGCTCCTCCACATCTCCAAAGCTTTAAATTCTCCAGTGTTTGACCCATTCTAGACACATCTGGGTCTCTATCTCAGCTGGTGCCACGTTCCTCCTCCTGGAACAAACAACTGTTAGACAAGATGATTTGCATTTCACCTGAAGCTGCTTTTGCTCATGACAGGAGTGCAGTTTGTCACCTCTCCTGCCCAGGACAGGAATGCTGCTCAGGAGAGGATCTTCCTCAGGCTTTGCTGCCACACAAGCAGCTTATTTGTTGACTTCTGAGCTTGATTTAGTGAATTCTGCCCCAAATCTAAAGCACTGAAAAGATTATGAAGTTCCCTTCCTATGGTTGAAGTGATTTTTAATCTGGATTGATGTCAAGCCACCGTTAAAACCACTTTTGAAATGGGATCAAAAGGGAGACTTGAAGAGGGGCTGAGCCAGATAAAGCACCTCATCCTCAAATTCTACCAGATGAATGAAGAGATTTAAAAACAACCCAAAAATAAAGCCCCAAAACCAACACATTTTCTACTTGCAGACTCTAGGTTGGCAGCTCCTGAAGCAGCTTCAGAGCCCAGCAGTGCAGGAGCCACTGGCCAGGACACCAGCACCATCAACCCATCTTAACACCCTTTGTGGAGACTTCACCACCTACTAACTTCTCTGTATGTATGTAGAATGAATTAGAGAGTTTAAAAACCCTTTGTGTATCTTTGAACAAGATACTTGAAAAAGTATTCCAGATTTCTTGTAAAGAGAAGACAGCACTTTGTTCTGCTTCAGCCAGGATGGAAGCTTAAATTTTTTAGGTTCTAGTCTTTTTAGCTTAAAAAAGAAAAATAAATAACTGCATATTAATCTGTCCTTAATAAAGCATTATTGAAATTTTGATACTTCTTTGTAATGGAAGGTATCTTAAGTTATCTCTAAAAGTAGTGGAGGGATTTGGAAATAAGCTTATTGTGATGCCACTGGGGGAATGACTGTTGATAATGTTGTATAGCATGGCCTTGGGTATAAATGATGTACAATTATATTTGAATTTATGCTCTCTCTGTCATCCTGGTTTGTGGTCTTACTTCCTCTAGAGAACAGCAGCAGGGCTTTTAAGAAGGAAAAACAACTTGTTTCTCCTCTTGAGGACAGAAAAGTGTTCATTACCCTGAGATGATCAGGCTGGGAGAGCAGTGGAAAGAACTGTTGAGCAGCCACAAATCTTGAAATATTCCATTTAATCAGATGAAGCCTCATTTGCTCTAAATATATTCTCTCCAATAGGAGTTAAAGTGCACACAGAAGCAAAAGGAAAAGCTGAGGTCTAAGCCCAGCCTGATATCCAGGCTCAATCAATTGGTAAATCCAGCCTAGGTTGAGCCCCAAACCCTCTTCCTCCAGGGGAGGAGGATGATGTTTCACTGTGGTCCTGGAAAAACACCTCCAGAAGGTGGTTTTCAAAGCCATTCTGAGCAGCTCTGTTGTCTCCTCACCTTTGTGTGGAGCTGTGGAGGGGCCATGGCAGGATCCAGGCTCCTCTCTGCACAGCTAAACCAGAGTCCCCTCCCAGGTCAGGGAGCTGGAAACCCCAACAAGTCTCTCTGGGGAAAAGGAGGGATCAGTCTAAAACCACCAGCATGGAATTCACTGCCTTTTATTTCATGACAGTGTCTGGACTCTGGAGAGAAGTTCTGGTTTCAGGGGGCTTGTTGGTTGCTCCTCTCTGGATTCCTGGATGTCTGCCATGACTGCTGCATCCCAGGAGAGAGTCAGGAGGGCTGAGGGCACCTGGGACAGAGGGAGGTAGTTATGGAGCTACAGCCATTTCATCCTTTCACCTCCTAACACAACCTTGTGTGTTCCCAGAGCTGGAAAAACTGAAAGCACTTCAACTAAACTGTGGATTTCTGCAAGAAGCTCCTCAGGGCTTTCTGGGGGCCAGAGCTGCCCCTGCCTGACAGTTGCTGCCTTCCCTCTTCCCAGTGTGGATGCTGATCCTCCAGCAGAGCTGCTGGCACCTCCAGCAACCTGTGTTGGCTCCAGGTCAGTCCTTGCAGCTCCTTCCTGACAGACCCCCAGCCAGGAGCCCTCAAGCAATTACTACTTTGCTTGTGCTTAAAAAGAAGGGGCCAGAGCACAACCTGAAGGCCCTGAGAGCAGAAGACACACCCTTCTGAGAGGAGCAGCTGCCTCTGATATCCTGAAGGCCCCCAGGGAAGGGATCAGCTCTTCTTTATTGACTCACCAGCCCACATTCGTTGAAGGCCAAGTTCTCATCAGTCAGTTTGAGCCCTCCAGGTCCCAGCAGCTCAAAGGGCAGCCAGTCATCTCGGAGGGCTTCCCTCACAAAGCTGTAGAGCACAGACACTGGTTCTCGTGCATAAAAAGTCCCTGCCAGGAGAAAATGAGGGGAGAGATGGAGCCAGGCTCTGGCATTTACCAAATCCACCCTTTTTGTGGTGGGTTCCATGGGGCTCAGGTAGTGCCACTGACTTCCTCAACTCCCTCAGTGCCACAAGGAGCTGCTGAGAAGCATAAAAGCAGAATTCCTCAAATTCAAAACCAGGGCTTCACAAGCCCCTGCCAGCCTGGAACAAGGAGTTGGGGAAGCCTGAAATACTAATTCCCTGAGCTCTGCTGCAACAAAAAAACCAACAAGCAGAGGGTTGACACAGTTGTACAACCTGACACCACACAGGCCACCTCATGCTGGCTGCTCCTGACAAATGGGTAAGAAATGGATTAAATGAGGCTGGCAGGAGCCTGGGAAGGGCACAATTTAATTAACAGCACCTTAAAGTGCTTCCCCCTCCCCTCAACCCTGCAGAGGTGAGGCAGGGACAGGGCTGGGAAATGGGAAGAGGTCAGAGCAGTGTTGCCTCTCCCTGGGTTTTGTTGCTTTCATTATTCTCCCAGCACAGCTCAGGGCCTGCTTGTTACTCAAACTCTTGCAGCACAAGTGTTCTCAGAAGCTTGGGAGGGTGGAGGAAGGAGGGGTGAGGTTACCTTGCAGGACGTAGCCGTCAGGGAAGCGCACGCGCAGGAGGGTGTAGTTGTACCTGCGCTGCTCCCGCTGCTCCTCCTTCTCTCTCATGGCTCTGGTCCTCAGCAGGGCAGCCTTCTCCACTGCTTCTGTCCTGCAGGGGGGAGAGCAGCTCTGAGCATGAAGGAATCATGGAATGGTTTGGGTTGGAAGGGACCCTAAAGCTCATCCAGATCCAACCCCCTGCATGGGCAGGGACACCTCCCTCCAGCCCAGCCTGCTCCAAGCCCCATCCAACCTGCCCTTCAACACTGCCAGGGATGGGGCAGCCACAGCTTCCCTGGGCAACCTGGGCCAGGCTCTCACCACCCTCACACTCCACAATTCCCTCCTCATGTCTCACCTCAATCTCCCTCTGCCAGTTTCCATCCATCCCCCCTTGTCCTCTCCCTCCCTGCCCTTGTCCCAAGCCCCTCCCCAGCTTTTCTGGAGCCCCTTCAGGCCCTGGAAGCTGCTCTAAGGTCTCCCTGGAGCCTTCTCTTCTCCAGGCTGAACCCCCCAACTCTCCCAGCCTGGCTCCAGAGCAGAGCTGCTCCAGCCCTTGGATCATCTCCGTGGCCTCCTCTGGACTCTCTCCATGTCCTGATGTTGGGGGCTCCAGAACTGGACCCAGTGCTCCAGGTGGGTTCTCACCAGACCAGAGGGGGAGAATGACTCAGTGCCAGGCTCAGGGCCCCCCCCCGGGCCTCACCGGAGCCGCTGCTCCCGTCTGATCTCCTCTGCACTCAGGCTGTAAAAGTCCTCGGGCAGCTCGAACTGCGCGGCTGCCGGGGAGGGTTGGAAGAGCTGGAGCTGTCGGTCCAGCTGGGCCCGCACGGGCTCCGAGCTCAGCAGCTGCTCTTTGTAGTCCTTGAGATCTTCCAGCCTGGTCAGCATGTCTTCCTTCAGCACGTAGAACTCCTCTGGGGTCTCTACAAGCAAGAGGGATGGGAATTGAATCTTGTTCTTGGTGTGAGTTCACGTGTGGAACGTGAGGGTGAGGAGCTGTGGCTGAGCAGGGGAAGTGCTGGTTCTGTGACAGCCCTGGAGCTCCCTCAGCCACCCAGCATGTCCCACATCCCCTCCCACTCCTGACTGGTTTCATAGAATGGCTTGAGTGTGAAGGGACCTTAAAGATCATCCAGTCCCCCCCCCTGCATGGGCAGGGACACCTCCCACCAGCCCAGGTTGCTCCAAGCCCCATCCAACCTGCCCTTCAACACTGCCAGGGATGGGGCAGCCACAGCTTCCCTGGGCAACCTGGGCCAGGCTCTCACCACCCTCACACTCCACAATTCCCTCCTCATGTCTCACCTCAATCTCCCCTCCTCCAGTTTTCATCCATCCCCCCTTGTCCTCTCCCTCCCTGCCCTTGTCCCAAGTCCCTCCCCAGCTTTCCTGGAGCCCCTTCAGGCCCTGGAAGCTGCTCTAAGGTCTCCCTGGAGCCTTCTCTTCTCCAGGCTGAACCCCCCAACTCTCCCAGCCTGGCTCCAGAGCAGAGCTGCTCCAGCCCTTGGATCATCTCTGTGGCCTCCTCTGGAGTCCCCAGGAGCTCCATGTCCTTCTTATGATGGGGTCTCCAGAACTGGACACTGTTCCAGGTGGGATCAGTTGAATACACTGAGAATTCTTACCCTGGCCTGGAACTGGCAGCGTTTTCATCTCAAACCCAACAGCCTGGAAAAATCTGTGGATCCCTTCTAGGCAGCTTATCCTTTCCTGGAAGAAAAGGAAAGAATCCCAATGTATTCCCAATGCTCCAGGCACAGATTTTCCTTGGCAGAACAACTGCAGGAGTCCTGATCTCACCTGGAACACTTTGTTCTGTAGTTTGATTTTCCTGTACTTTTCCTCCTCTGGATGGAGATAAATGTTATCCAGGTACCTGCAGGAAGAGGAAATGTCCTGTATGGATCAAAGCAGGCACTTCAGGACAAGCCACCCTAAGGTGTCAGGAGAGACTGAGCCACCTCACAGTATTTCTCACAGATAAAAAGAGCTGAAGAACTTCAGGAAAAGTAAAATCCATCAGTGTTTCAGAGATAAGATCTCAACCAACAGCTCCCAAATGGCTTGGAATAGTGACCAAACCTCTTGGGAGTTGTGACCAAACCTCTTGGGAGTTGTGACCAAACCTCTTGGAGTTGTGACCAAACCTCCTGGAGTTGTGACCAAACCTCCTGGAGTTGTGACCAAACCTCCTGGGAGTTGTGACCAAACCTCCTGGGAGTTGTGACCAAACCTCCTGGGAGTTGTGACCAAACCTCCTGGGAGTTGTGACCAAACCGCCTGGAGTTGTGACAAAACCCCTTGGGGGTTTGGACCAAACCCTCTGGGAGTTGTGACCAAACCTCCTGGAGTTGTGACCAAACCTCCTGGGAGTTGTGACCAAACCTCCTGGGAGTTGTGACCAAACCCTTAAACCACCTCAGAGATGCTGACCTCATTTCTTAACTACCACTTCAGATTGCTCAAGGGCTTGGTTGCCTTCAGACTTTGCCTGGAGAAGGACAAGCCCCCCATGTGTTCGGTCCCACTTACTTGGCCATGGTCTCCACACCCACTCGGAGCTTCTCCCGGTCCTTGTTGAAGGTGTGAATCTCCATGATGGAAGCAGCCACAGGATCTATGGAGAAATACTGGAGGAGAAGGAGAGAAGAAGGTCAGGGGGGAGCTGATGGTGCCCCTCAACCCAGCTCAGCACCACTCTTGTTCCCCCTCCAGTTAGGGGGAGGGAAATGGAAGGGGAAAAAAGAAGTGGGTTGGGCTAAATATAATTTAATAGGTTAAATGAAGGGATTTATTCACTGCTTCCCAATTTCCAGGCAGGAAGTGGCTAATTAACCCTGTGATCATTACACAGAGAAACCACAGCACCATGAACTCTGTCCCAGGCAAAAGCAGCACAGAGCCAGAGCTCCCAGTGGCAGCATTCCCAGTAAGCTGAAGGGAGGGAGCTCGGACAGGCACTGGTAGGGCTGGGATAGAGCTGGGAGACACTGGAGATGTCACAGGGAGAAGGTGGAGAAGGGAAAGGTCCCTGTTGTGTTGCTGGAGGAGGAAGAGAAGGTGGGAAGGTGGCATATCATGGAATTTCAGACTGGTCTGCAGTGGAGAGACCTTAAAGATCATCCAGTCCCACCCCCTGCATGGGCAGGGACACCTCCCACCAGCCCAGGCTGCTCCAAGCCCCATCCAACCTGCCCTTCAACACTGCCAGGGATGGGGCAGCCACAGCTTCCCTGGGCAACCTGGGCCAGGCTCTCACCACCCTCACACTCCACAATTCCCTCCTCATGTCTCACCTCAATCTCCCTCTGCCACTTTTCATCCATCCCCCCTTGTCCTCTCCCTCCCTGCCCTTGTCCCAAGTCCCTCCCCAGCTTTCCTGGAGCCCCTTCAGGCACTGGAAGCTGCTCTAAGGTCTCCCTGGAGCCTTCTCTTCTCCAGGCTGAACCCCCCAACTCTCCCAGCCTGTCTCCAGAGCAGAGCTGCTCCAGCCCAAGGACCATCCCAGGCTCCTCACCGACTGGATGGCTTCCCTGAGGTGCTTTTCCTTCTGGTCTTTCCTCACAACCACGCCGGTCAAGGGGCAGATGAAGTAGATCCCTGAAACAGAGGGGGCAGCTGCCCCTTCCATGTCCGAGGAGCTGGGATCCTAATGGAGACACAACCAGGCACCCAGCTGATCCCAAGAAGGTCAGAGCTTGGATTTCAATCCCTGGGGATGGGGTGGCTCAGGGAACACTGGTGTCTCATACCTCTGTGTCCACCTTTTTCTCACTGGCAGCTGCCTCAGCCATCAGTTCCTTCCTCACTGCAAGAGACAATCCTGGAATGAGGGTGGGAACAGAGGATCTTGGAGGGGTTTGGACTGTGCAGAACCCCCAGGTGAGCATCACCCCCCACTCCTGTGAGACTTCCCAGAGCCACCTCCACATCCCTGAGAGCAGCACCCACTGCTCCCCACCCAGGACACCCCCCTCTGGTTTGGAGCCATCCCAGCTGATCCAGCAAAGTGCCCTTGTGGCCAAGAAGACC